CACACACACACACACACTCAGTGCTAATCAGCCATTAAAGAGGAACAGATAGAACATGAAGATTATTTTCAACACTGAGTCGATTGTTTCTTCAAGTGAGAGTCGGACATGTGAGTCAGATCCACATGATGAAAAGAATTTTCCCTGAAGCGAGTGTAACGTCCTCTCTTCTCTTCTTCGTTTCTGTGGTTGCTCCCTCCATCACTGCTCGGCTCCTCCCCTCAGGTTCTTCTGTGTAAAACATCGACACGTCTCTGAGGAAGCCGACGTTTCAGCACCTGGATACTTCACCTGTAACTCAGAGGTCACTAGTGCTGATCCAGGACCAGCGTCGATGTCCCTACAGTTATTTCAGTTTGTCACTGAATCGTCTCAAACCTCTGACGTCACATTAAAAGGTGCTGAGTCTCACATTTCAACCATCGATTGTATCAGTGACACGTTTGATAGACTCACGTTTCCTGTTATTGTCACGACCACATGTCCCATCATTCCTGCTGCTTCCCGCCCCTCAAACAGGGCGACATGTTTTTTTGTCGTTCATCAGCTGTGAGAGTGAAACGAACAGCGCCCTCTTCCTGTTGTGTGCTATGAAGCGATCTTGACATTTTCCCTCCTGACAGTTTCTGTGTTCTCTCTTTTTTTATTGATTTGTTTGTTCATGCGTTCACGTCCTCTGCTCTGATCAGTTCTGAGCGACTCTTTTAAAATCACGTTTCACAATGATGCACAGTATAGCCCTGTTAGCCTGCGATGCTAATTTTTGCGAGCACACCAAAATATCTGCGTTGTCATTCTGGTGTGCTAATAAATATTACAAGCAGATATTTTATAGAAAATAGCGTGCATGCTAATGACTTTGTTAGCATGCTAAAACATTACTCAGGGGCTAATAAACGCTAAAAACTGTAGCATGCAGAAAAATTCTTATGATATGAAACAATGAAAAAGAAAACAACAGCATGCTAACAATGCTGAGGACAAAACCGGGATAAATAAAAGTTTCTTTTTCTTATTGTCAACATATTCGATGTTCAGAATCAAACCAGCGATCAATTCATCTACAAACAAGTACGTCTCAAAAAAATATTCCCTGACAAATACTCAACTTATGGTGGGATTGAAAAACCTGAGGACCCAGCTGTTCTCTAAAGAACTTTAAAAAACTTTGAAGAACTTTAAAGAACTTCAAGTTCTATATTAGTTCTGTTTCTAATGTTTAACCAATGGTAGCGGAGCGGAGAGAGGAGGACGAACATGTAGAATAATGCGGTGACTTCACTGTCTTTGCTTTATGGACAGAATTTGCCATTGATTTGACAAATGAATGGAAAAATTGTCCGTTAACTTTCACTGAAGTGGAGAAAAGTTCTCTCCCATAATGCATCACTGCTACTCCCCAGTTTAGAGGACATCCATCAGCATGTGTGAGGTCACTTCCTCTCCAACGTGCTGTTCACTGGTCAAAAAGACAGGACAGGCGTGAATGTCCTTGGTGCTTTGAACATTTCAAATCAGATTTTTATCCCATGAGGAAAAGACGAAAAGACAAAAGATGAGAGCGAGTGGTTGATGGAGAGAGAGAAGTTACCTGCTGATGAAATCTGCTGAAGATTCACTCAATAATGAACTTTACCAAAAAAAAAATCTTTAAATGATTTATAAAAGTTTATATGTTCAGATTATTGTGGTTTATAAATGGACCAATGAAAGATCTGGATCGGAAACATTCATGTTTGATTATTAAACAGGTTCACACAGATGAATTCACTATTTCACAACTTGCACAACTTTAAACAAAGTGCAGATTAATACAAAGTGTTTGTGATTCTGTAGAAAGAGAGAAAACAGAAATAGATAAAGAGCTGTCATTGAGAGAAACGTGACATTACTGAATCATCCTTTCATCTGGATGAAAGCACAGATGAAGAACTTTTGTCAGAAACATAGTGAAAATATATCTGAACTCACAGCATGTTAACTTTCTCTCTGACTGAAGCACAATCAGGAGAAGCCTCACCTGAACTCTGCATGTTTTAGTATTTTCACTATTCTTATGACTTTCAAATTGATCTCTGCTTCTCATCAGTGAGAGTAAAGATGAAACACCTCAACATTCAGTCGCATTGAATTCACAGTTTATAAACGTGTGCACATGAATCTCCACATCACATGACCCTGGACTCCGTCGATCTCTTAACCAATCAGTTAAACAGAAATCTTTTTAATGACCAGCGCTGACTCGATGCAGTGGATTCAAACAAAGTTCAGTGATTTTAATTCTAGAAACTTCTCTGATCATTATTCAATCAGATGTTTCTCAGACTGGAAAACACACATCGACTCTTATCATGTTCATTTTGTTTGAGGAAAATAACTGGTGAGTTTTCACCTGATGTTTTTCACACATTAGATTCAGGATCGCCTCCAAAATAATCCTGTCTTTAGTCCTGAAATCAAGAAGCGTGAATTAGTTTGACTTTAAAACTCTTTTCTCTCTTCACGTGTTAAACGTTTCAGCACAAATTGATGCAAAAGATCAAGCTTGATTTAAACTTTTCAAAGAGACGAGACCACGATTAAAAATCTGACCGGACATTTGAAACCGAACTCTAAGAACTTTACATCCTGCTACGACACCAGGAAATGAGCTAATGTTGTGTGTAAGAGTTTGTTAGCTAGTAAAGTCTAACTTCTGATCAAAGCAGATCCCTTGTGTGGGGATGAGGTCGAATAACGAAGTACCATCAGAAATTGTCAAGTTTAAGTTTAAGTCAAAGTTTTTCTACAAATTTTACATCTTTCTAACTTTTTTAGCATTTCTTTATTTGACTTCCTTAATGTGAAAGCAAAACATTATTCATTTTGACAACGATAATAATAATTCTTTAATTAACAGTGGATCAATTAGCTCATTAAGCTAAACCTGCTCGTTGTGGAGGAATCCAGTCACTTTGTTAACGTTCCCTTGTTTTTAAAGCGTGTGACACAATTATTTCCCATAATTCTGATTCAGTGTTTAAACTAACAAGCTCATTCAAGTCTAACTGGCAGACGGAGGTAGCTATAGCTAATTCTATCGAAGCTTTACTGTAGCATTACAGTCAAGGTGACAAGTCAGTGACGATGAAAGTTCTATTCGAGGAACTAGACTTTTCAAAAGGATTTTCAAAAGGCAGGAGGCCAAACAAAGAACTTCAGGTGTTTGAATTTTAGCAGACAGACAAGTTATGGAGGTTTGGTCTCATTATTTCTGTCAAATTCATTCACACGAATGTTTTTCTCCTGGTGCTAAAAGAAGCTGAATGAAAAGTGTTTTCTCGCTGATTGATTGTGAAACTTTTTTGCCGTTTCCAGTTTAAAAGTGTTGATGATGAGAAACTGAAGTCTGCTCTCGGTCGGAGACGATAATCCTCAGTTTACTGCCTTAACTGTCAATCAGATGCCAAAAAAAGTGAGCGTGCTGCGTCCGATCTTTCACTGACTGTGTCTTTAAATTCCCTCTGAAGCAGCAGAGGAAACAGATCAGAGGATTTACGTCTAATTGGTTAAAAATCGACTGTTTCGCTTTGACTCTGTGGAAGTTTACGTTTACATGACAACTTGTAATGTATTGAAGTCGATTATCGTGTTGAAGCGTCTGCACACTGGGAGAGAAGGTACCGGGCGTTTGTTTGAAGCCGTCAAGTGAATCATTCAACGGAAACATGATTGGAAACTCTTTTGATAATCGTTTTCAGCAAAACTGACAATCACCCTGTTCCGTTAGCTTCTCCAGTATGAGTCTTCTTTGTTGGACCAGGACGTTAAAGTTCTGGTTTGAAGGAACTCGATGGGTCGGATCGACGTGTCTCACGTTCTAAGACGACCGTGTTTGATTCACGACCGAAACGTTCTCTACCGCTCTCTCACGATCGTCGACTTTGATCAGAAACAGTCCAGAAACCAAATAGTTTGGCAGCGTGAACTTCTGACTTGATTTTAAACCAGTGAAAGTTCTGGTTTGACTGAACTCGGGGGGTCGACGGTCCAGAAACTCTCAGTGTGTAGAGGTTTAACATCCTGTTCATCGGATCAAAGCTGATTCCTTCAGAGTAAAAGCATTTGTGCGTTTGAAGTTTCCGTGACGGTCCAAGACGTTTCCAGCTGCTGTGTGTCTGCTGCTTTCATTGGTTGTATTTGTGTCTGGACCAGTTTGAAGCTTTAGTTCCATTAGTGACGTGTTATAAGCTGATCCTGCTGCTGATGAATATCAGAAGCTGAAGCACTTATGTAGAATCACTGGACATTATTCATGTGTAGATTTATTTGAAGCTTTATTTGAGCATGTTTTCATTTTTTTGTATTTATACACTTAAATTTTTGATATATCAAATATTTCCATCAGTATTTACCCAGAATTCAGTTGTATAGAATTATACTGTATTTTGTATTGACTCATTTTTATTTTTTGACTCTTTAGCTATTTGATTTTTTTTATTGCCGCCTGGAGTCGTGTGACGAATCAGAGCAAATGAGTTTGAACTGCTGACGATATCAACTCTGACTGACTGTTGTGTTCTTCTGACTCCAGGTCAGACCAACACAGATTGTTTACATCCTTTATTCCTGCATGTTTGTATTTTCTGATGCTTCGTGACGCAAAGTGACCTGATTTAAGGCCGTTTGTCCACTGGGCCGCAAAGGATTCTGGGGAATAATCAGCAGTGTGGTGGCCTGTTAGTACTGATGCAGTACGGCCTCAGAAGGAAGTGTGATCTTGAATGGACGTCTCACAAGAAATAAATGAAAAACAGTAGAATTGAATCTGTCCTGTGGATCATATTTAAGTTTTGAAGTCACTGAATGGTTTTAACTCTAAATTTATTTGAATGTTAGGAAAGAAGATCAGTGGAACTGTGACCTGAAAGAAATCAGTACAAACACTTCAAATCTGAAAAGTGTTTGTTGACGTCAGCGAGCGTTTCACTCCTCGATTGTTTCAGTTCAGTCTGGATTTAAATATCAGGTGTGAAAGGTTCCTCAGACCAAACGCTTCTGTTTTTAAAAAGGACTCAGCCAGTTTGTATTTTCAACATTAGTCCGACAGGTTTCAATCAGTCTGTTGAGACGTCCGTTCAAACATGAAGTCTCTTCTGTGAACAGACCCAGTGGACTCACACACGCTGAGAGTTCAGAGTGCAGATCAGAGTTTTCTCCAAAGTGCCTTAATGTTGTGTTGAATTATTGATCGGTCCATTACCCAGCATGCTTTCAGAGAGGAGACCAGCGTCGCCCGACTCTGCTGGAGAAGTGAAGTGATCATGTGGTAGAAGAAGACATGTCCACTGTTGTTAATCATCACATGTTGTTCCTCCACTTTGTTTTCAAGTTTAAACTACAAGTTGTGATTTTTGTGGCATGTTGTAAATTAAAGGCTCATTGCACCAACGTTCTGTCTCCTGATTCAGCAAACACACTTAATACACACTTAATACACACTTAATACACACTTAATACACACTTAATACACACTTAATACACACACATAATAACACAGTTTAGGTTCAAGCCATACTTTCAAAATAAAAGCCCTTCAATTTGAATTCCTAGTTTTTCTAAATATAAATTACGAGACGTCAGAGGATGTTTTTCAAACTTCATCATATGTAGTTTTTCACAGCTCTGCTGATGTTTTTATCCCCTTTATTGTGAAGCCTCCTGAGACAAGAGGAAACAGTTCTGTAAAGTGTCAGTAGATGGCAGCATTGTAGCACACACACACACTCACACACACACAAACACACACACACA